GGTGTATTGACTCTGCATTGCCCCACCCTGTTCCTTCCCTTCACGACCGAGCTGATTAGCAGGAAAATCAACGTCTCTTCTCACGCCCTGTTCGTGCTCCTGTTGATGCTTTCGGCGTCTCCCCCGCCCCAGCCTCTCGCAGGCACCCCATGCTCGGCCAAAGAGGAAAGCCTGGCGGGTGCGGAGGCCGGCAGGGGTGGACGCGCTGGGGATCGCTCGGGCCTGGGGTGGCACAGGGACCAGTTTGCCCTTCTGGAGCAGGAGAGAGAGAGTGAGAGATAAAAAGGCGTTTCCTCTAAGCAGGGCTGCGTCTCTGGACCCAACCCACGTTGCTTCCCCGGGTGGCCTTGCATCGCGCGTGAATTTCCTTGAACGCTTCCTATGGTACTTGTTTCCAAGGGTAGGTAGTTCGTTAGTCTGTGGAGAGAAAACACAGGAGAAAGGCGGGATAAAATATTTTAAATAAATAAATAAAATAAAACACCCAGGAAGATCGCGGCACCTTAATAACGGGTTATCAGCGCCCTTTTGCAGGGAAGGCAGGCAGGGGACTGGAGCAGATCTGAAACAGCGTCGGGCGAAGGCTCCGGAGCAGGATATTACCCGGCTATGTGGTGGTGGTGGCGGCGGCAATGCCTCCCCAGGCGGCTCAGGGCCTGGCCTTCTCCTCTCCGGGAACAAGTGCGGAGTGAAACCCCTTCCCTGGGCCCGGCTGGCCTGCCAGTGGCCGTTCCCACATCAATCACTCGACCCTCGGGCAGGGGAAGTCGTAAAAGGTTTTGAACTTTAATCCGCCCAAGGTCTCCCGGCACCTGCGGCGGAGGGTTGGTGCAGTTAATTTGTTACCAGTTTCAGTGCGGGAGAAAGAAGGGGTTGATCCTGTCGCTCGGAAGCCTACGAAAAAGACGAGGCGCAAGTAAATTACAGAGAGGGCGGCGTGTTTGCTTTCTGGATGCAGAAAGTGTCCCTTCTTTTAAGGATCTGTCTTTAAAACGGCTCAGGGCAATAAAATAAAATAAAATAAAACTCTGTGTGTGAGTGATAGAGATCTGGCAGCGTGTAAAGGGAAAAGTTAGGCTCCTTCTGACGGGTTTTTATTCCGGGTACCGTTTGCCAGACTAGTCTGCTCCAATCTCACGATCGGCTTCTATTTAAAAAAAGGCTAGTTAATTAGCTATCTAGGAGTTAGTCTGCTCCAATCTCACCATCGGCTTCTATTCAAAAAAGGCTAGTTAATTAGCTATCTAGGACAAGAAAGTGAGCAAAAGGTCGCCTTGGATCTACTCGGTACTTCGCTTCTGAGTGATCCCGCAGTTGATGGGCAAGGGTTAGGGGGATTCCCAACTTTGTAACGACAGTAGGATCAAAACGAGCTTCCCCGCGGCCCCAAATGATGTTGGTCAAAAAAAAGAAAGCTTGTGAGATGCAGGCACGCCCCCTCCCAAAAAGTAATTCTCCTGAATTACTTGAGAAGCGAATGCAGTGGGAAACAACTTGGAGTAAACATCTTTCTTTAAAGCTATAGATGCTAGGACAGAAGATCTAACAATAAAACTAGTGGAATCTCCTAATTTCGAAAATGCATATAACATATACTTTCTAAAGTCACATCGTTTCCAAAGGTTTGGCAGGAAGCAGCCAATTTTAAAAGCGGTGGAGATTCGATTTTGCCTTGAAGACTGAAATTGCCAATCCCGTGTTCGATCTTTAACCACCCAGCAAATATTCACCGGGCGAAGCGTAAGAATAACCATCGTGACAGATTCAGCAGTGGATCCGTTACCGTTCACGGGCAGCCAGATTTTAGGGCGTGTAAAGGACTGAGTGTCTCACTTACCTGGAAAACCAGAATAGGGGTCACTGTTAGTGGAATGCGGCTGGAGGCGACCACGGCAGGTAACACACCCGGTGGATCCTAGGACTTCTGTCGGTTGTCCTAATTATGGGTGGGAGAAGTTTAAATTCTGTGCTTGAAATACTTTCCCCTCAGGAACCGTCTATCTTTAGACACGGATTTACTCTAAGTA